AAAATGTTACAGCTCGACTTAAGGGAAGTGTACAGGAAGGAAAAGAGAGACGAGTCAATTTCAGAGAATCAGAAAATATGTCGATTGTGTATGCAGCTAGTAAGAAGTGAGTTTAGGTGCATACGTGAAAAGGAACTCGAAGCTATTCAGAAACTTACTCCTGAGATGGTACGAACCATGTTAAATATATTCATTGATAACAATTTAAAAAAATTACTTTGCAGAATATAAATATCATCGTAGATCCCGTTGTATGTAAAGAGTGTTTGGATTCCCTGTGTACCCACAATAGTTTCTGCAGAGAATGTTTGGAAGCAGAGGAAAACTTTAAAGGTAGTTCTGATTGTCAAGCCACAGAAAGTCAAGTTGAGACATCACCATCCAATTTATTCGTTAAGACTGAAAACTTGTACCCAGAATTCGATATTAACGAGATGGAAATGTCAATCAAAGCCGATATTGTCGACATAAAATCTGAAGATGAGGAAAGAAGGTAAGGGATGACTATTTTAGCATTAAAAAAAAATGGCAAATTGCATGATTGTGGTACTGGCGGATGTTATACAATTAAATTGGTACATAAATACAATGGCGGCTCGTGGCTTTTTGAGATGGGTGGGTAAAATAACGAGTGTTCAAATAAAAACGTGGTCGAAGTTGGTAGCAGCTGTCAGTTTCAATAACGTTAATGACTATATAACTTTATTTTAAAGAATAATCGTGATAACAATAACAAACAATTAAAGGAGCTGCGGAAAGTGTCCCCCTCCTTGTTCCAAGCACTTTTCACACTTGTTCCTCAAATTAAAGACATTTTCTAAGATGCTCGGGGTATTGTTAATTTCACGAATCTTGTCTGTAAGTCGAGCCTGCGGATGGTTTACATCAGGAATAGGCAGTTCAAAAATAGTGTTTTTTTTAGGCCACAAAAAGAAGTCACACGGCGTAATATATAATATATGAAGTTCACCGTAGTTGTTGAAGTTCTTGCTGATAAGTTAAACGATAGAAGAACAAACGCAAATCTTTTTTTAACACTGTGTGGCAGGTACCGACTGATACTCCCACCATTTGTGATGAAACACGTGCAGAAGTTCTTGGCGCATTTTCCATTATTTGTTGGACATTTTCTTTTAATTCTTCAGTCCGCTTTTTGGATCAGCCGCTTCCTTCTTTTCTTGTTACACTGCCCGTTTCACGAAAAACATTAACACAAAACTGAACTGCTCTTTGAAAAATTTTGTACTCAACAACGCCGGGAAATTGATTTTGAAATTCTATGAAACATTCCTCAATAGAATACTTCCATATTCCATCAATCTNCGATAAATTATAATAAAATTTTAATAAATAAATAAAATGTATTAAATAGAGACTAAAGGTTTTTTTTTAGTCCAACAGTTTCTTTATTATTTGAAAAAAAATAGATATTTAATTTAAACGTCCTAAAAATAATTTACTTCAGTTCCATATTTACAAACTCGAATCTATTAAAACATTGGAAATTTCTCTGCAGTCACTCTTAATTCAGTTTAACAGTAACGGGTTAGAAAAACTTCAATAATTATAATTATCATTATCAAAGAACATTCAAAATATCATCATAGATGGTTTATTATTTCGTTTACTAAAATTTGTTTTCTAGAATCCCTTGCAGGGAAAAATTGTTCCAATGTTTAAAAATTCATTTAAAAAACAAAATTACAGCAAACAAATATACATACGTATATTTCCAACTGCTGGGACAAAGCCTCAGCGTGTACAACACTCGATGGGCATATGCGGCCAAATATTGTGATTTAGTGAACGACTTACCTTTCCGATTACTTTCTAGTCCTATGTACGTATTAGCAGGCAAGGGACGGTGTTGCCTAGTTCAGCGGTTACCGGCAAGCCCGAATGTTCCGTTGGTTGCTGCTGAGATCACGATGAAATGATAAATTGTAAAATTTGGTAGCGAAAGTTTCAAAGGAGATAACACACTTTAGATTTGATTTTAAAAGGATAATGTCAAATCATTTTAGTATATGTACCAATACGCTTTTTTTTTTAATACCTCTGACATTTTCAGGGTGCGCACTGCGTAAATATATCGTTAATCTATTAATGCATATTATTAACTTATGGTGCCAAACGAGTCCAATCAAATTAGATTTTTACTTGCCATTTAGTTCAGGGAACAAAGATACATAAAAGTTACGGAAAATTCCGTAGAATTGAGCAAACTACTTTACTCCAATTGAACGTTAGGGTTTCATTTAAAAAAAAAAAACTACACATTTTAGAAAAAAATGTTTTAGACAACAGTTGTAGAACTTTTTATAACAAAGTTTTGATCAGTGTTCGATGTCAATCGATAACCAAATGTATTAGTTATTGGAAAAAAACGGCTAAAAATCGCATTTTTTAAATTCCTATAAGTACCTTTTAAATGAAAAAAGATTTTTTTACAAAACTTGCAGAGTATGTAGTCCTTGGCAAGTAGAATAAGTGCATTTTTGAAAATTTTCAAAATATTGGTTAGTTTATGCAAAAATTTAGTTTTTCGAAAAAAATTAATTTTTTCAAGTTTCAATAAATCGTACAGTAAAGCACTTTCGTGACCCATCGTAGGCTTAAAATTTTCTGTGGGAATCGTNACGTTATCAAAAGGCACCAACTGAAGCATAAAGATCCATCACAGGTTCAAATGTACGGGTGTAAGGACTGCGATTATGAAACTAAATACAAGAACTTTATCAAACAGCACCAACTGAAGCATAAATATCCATCACAGGTTCAAATGTACGGGTGTAACGATTGCGATTATGAAACCAAATATAAAAGAGCTATCAAACAGCACCAACTGAAGCATAAAGATCCAGCACAGGTTCAAATGTACAGGTGTAATGACTGCGATTATGAAACTAAATACAGGAGTGGTATTAAATATCACGTGTTGAAGCACAAAGAGCTTTCTGAAATGAAAATGTAGCGCTGTGTTTTGCTAAACTCTATGCATAACGAGTTTTTGAGGAGACTTCAAATGATGCACAAAAATGTTTGCAGGTGTGAATTACTGCCCTTTGTGTGTCGTGCAAAATGTCAAAAATGGAAGCATTTAAGAGCTACAAATGTGAATATGATAATATGTTTTCGTATATGTTGGAATAAGATGCAAGTTAGTGAAGTGTTGATGTCTGTTTTCCTGTTCTAAATGATTTATTTTGTAAAGGACCCCGCACATTTTATATGGAAAATGGTCTTCCGGTGAAATTTGCTAAAAATTTGGGAAATTGTTTGTTTTGTACCCCTGATCAAAAGTGTCAATGGGGTCGAAGCTCGAAATGTCCATCTTTAGGCTCTACTACAATTTTTATTGGCCAAAAACGGCAAAAATTCAATTTTTTAAATATTATGTTTAATGCTTGTACAGTCCCTTAAGTTTTCATTAAATTGTAAGCGTGTGAGTATTTTATGTAGGAATATGTCCATGTCTAATTATATGTGTGTATATGTATTTGTGTGAGAGGGTTTTTGAATGCACAATTATACAAGATTTAATACACACCGTCTCAATATTATTTTGTGGTTTTAATAACCTTCAATGAACTCGGAACTCTCATGCATTTTTTCAAAGAGTTCCCAAGAGTTGCCAAAGAGTTGCCAAAGATTTTCCAAGAGTTCGCAGTTCATAACTGAAGCGGATTTCTAGAGAAAGAATGTAAATAAAGCGAAAGAGAAGACACGCTGAATGAATTTTTGCCGTTTTTGGCCACTAAAAATTGCCGTAGAGCC